GTTCGGGCGAAGTGACTGTACCCCGTTTCAAGTTGACATCTGCTCGTTTATAACACTGCAACATTTAGATGTACATGGGCTGCATGGGTTAGAATAGTTATAATACATGTGTACATTTATAGAAGTATTTGTTTCATCTGGTTCAGGTATGAGTAAGCGAGGCCGGTGTAGTAATGGAAAGTTTGTTTCCAAGTCCAACGAAAAACGCAGGAATGGTAGCGGTCGGAGGTTATCTACAAACTCTGAATATGCATGTGACGCTGGTGAAATCCTGGGTGAAATAGTTGAAACCACACCAGTGAAACACGTTTTTGATGCGTGTATCACGTTAGAACACAATTACTGTTTGCACAATTCCCAAACACGTAGGTCTGCTTTCCCTACTGTACACAACGTAAACGTTGTCAAGGAAGAAATTGTGCACACAGAAGACTCCGATAATCATGATGACGATGCATTCGGCCATATTGATTTTGACGATGAGTGTGAATATGTCCCTAGTTTACAATGGAAAGAGGGTAGACGGATTGTAGAGTTGGGTGTTTTTGTTGACCATCTTTCAAAAGGTTGCAAAAAATGTGTTTACCCTTTAAATGTAACTGATTGTGTAGGTGAAACCAAACACGGTTTAGGTGGGTGGCTGCACATTATTTGCAGGAATCCATTGTGCCACACCATTAATTATTTACTTCTTGGTAAACATCATGGAAGGATTTGGGATGTAAACACTAAATATGCTTCAGGTAAGATTCAGTTAAAATATTATTTAGTTATTCCTCAACTTTTAATTATTGTATTGTTTACATCATTTTTACATAATAGAATGACTGTGAATAGACACTGAAATTTTTGTAAATTTGATTTTAAACAGGCTGTTACCAATTTCAATTAATTATATTAACTATTAGGAGTGGTCCATGCAGGTATAGGTGAGAGAAAGGCAAATAACTTGTTGTCGTTATTAAATATACCTGTCCCCAGTAAGGCAACAATGAAATACAAGAAAAAGGGAGGTTGGAGTAGCAGTGGAGAATGTTGCTAAAAAGTCTACCATGATAGCTTTACAGCATGAAATTGATGAAACAAAAAAACAGTGAGTCACTGTGTAATATTGTAATTATTAATACATGTAATTACAAAGGCTGCAATGATTGTTGTTTGGCTCTTAACTTTTCTGTTGATATGGAACTGATGGTGATAATATGATTTCCATTAATGTTTTTGGTCCCGATAAAGCTGTACATTTGAATCAGGCATTTGTATGTAGTGATAGTATCGCAAAATTATAATTTACTAATTATTTTCAGATGTAATTTGAACAATGAACATTGTCGCCTGAAAGTTGCAGTGGATGCAGGATGGCAAACTAGAGGTAGTGGGAGAGGATACAACAGTTTATCAGGTAATGTACAGATTGTATTGGAAGTTTGTACCTACCGGTATCTATAATTTGCTAAATAATAGCTTGGTGATAGGAGGTTGTATAGGTATGTAACAAAGAGTTCAGAGGTTTGATTATTTGACACTAACTGAACTCGTCTTAGACAAGTTGTCCTTGAATATAACTTAGTCTATAGTTGTTTAAATTTATTTAAAAATTTAAAGAGCCTGTTTTATTAAGGGTAGCCTATATGATCTAGTGAGGATAGTTCCAGTCATCTAGTGGTAATATCTGTCCATCATGATATAATAATCTGTTATAAAATAATATGTTCTAGTATTATATTTATTTCATATACTATCCACAAGGTCGCCGTAGCATGATAGGTGCTGAGACTGGTACAATTGTGGCATACAGTGTACGGTGTAAAAAGTGTAGGAAATGTGAAGCTGCTACAAGGCTAGGTTTAGAAATAGGAAAACATGATTGCCGAAAAAAATGGACAGGAAGTGCCAAAGCAATGGAGCCAGATATGGTGGAGGAACTTGCAAGACAGATGGAGAAAAGCTCTGCACCGATTGGAACTTTGATTGGTGATGAAGATAGTTCCACAATAGCACGTCTCAAAAAAATGTTGACCCAGCTATTGAAAAAAAAATCTGATAGTAATCATGTCAAAAAAAATCTTGGCAATCAGCTATATGCCCTGAAGGATACTCATAAAGTTTTAACAGTTAAAGTGATTAGATATCTTCAAAAATGTTTTAATTATATGGTTAGACAAAATGAAGGAAATGAACAGAATCTTAGGCAAGGATTAAAATCACTTTCGCAGCATCCATTTGGCAACCATACTTATTGTAGTCCTTCATGGTGCAGATTTCTTGAAAATCCCA